TTGTTCTAAAGCCTGTCCTAGGAAAATCGACTTTAATCTATCTAGATGATATAATTATAACGAGTAGTACGTTGGAACAACATATTAAAGATCTAGAAGAAGTTTTTTTTAAATTATTAAAAGAGGCCGGTCTTACAATTAACGCCTCAAAATGCAAGTTCGCAACTAAAGAACTTAAATATCTGGGTTATAAAATTTCGCAAAAGGGTATATAGAAACTCAAGATTCAAAAATAAAAGCAATCAAGAATTTCCCACCTCCCAACACCGCCAAGAAAACTTTCTTCTTTCCTTGGGTTATGTTCTTTCTTATTATCGGTCATTCATAAAAGATTTTGCTAATATTGTTGAACCCTTGTTAGTAATTAAAAGAAAGAAAAGTAAATTCACGTGGACAGCAGAAGCAAATACCGCATTTGAAAGGTTAAAAGAAGCGCTTATCAATGCCCCTGTTTTGAAATTCCCGGAGGGGGACGAAAACCTGGAAATTGCAGCAGATGCGTCGGACTATGCTGTGGGTGCGGTTCTTATGCAAAATGGCCATCCTTTGGCATTTTTTAGTAAAACGTTGAATCCTACACAAAGGAATTATACAGCTACAGAGAGAGAGAAACATTAGCCGTATTAATGGCTGTACACAAATTTCGAGTTTATTTCGGCAAAGCGCCAGTAACAGTCTTTTCGGATCATGCGGCTGTTGGTAGTAGACTTTACTCGGGGAAAAACCTAACGCCCAGGTTAATAAGATGGGCTTTAAAACTTCCAAGAATATAATCTCATAATTAAATATAAACCGGGTAAGGAAAACAATGTAGCTGACGCACTTTCTCGTATAAAACTGGACGATGAAGGCAATGAACTTAAATGCGCTGTGTTGACTTCAAAAATTTTAGATTCTAGAGAAACAATTATTGCTGAATTGAAAGCTGATCCTGAATTTGGAAGTATCTATGCGTATTTGAAAGACCCCGAAAGCTTTGAAGCACACAGATATCGATGCGATAAGAAATAGAGCAGAAAACTATGAAATAATAGATAATTTATTATTTTATACGAAAACAACAAACGAAAATCTCGAGTACAAACCAGTCATCCCAGCCTCGCTTCGATTAAGCATTTTGAAGGAATTACACGACGCGAAAACAGCGGGTCATTTAGGGGTCAGAAAGACTTTAAAAAGGGTACGCGAGGCGGTATATTTCCCGCAATTATACAAAATAGTAACTGCGTATGTCAGGTCCTGCAATCAATGTCAGTTAATAAATGATATTAATTACAGCCCGGCCGGGTACTTAAATAGCATTCGCGCTACATTTCCGAATGAAATTTTAGGCATAGATCTTCTTGGTCCTTTCCCCCAGAGTGAGTTAAATAAAAATCGTTTTCTTTTAGTAATTGTAGATCATTTTTCAAAATGGACAGAAATTGTTCCACTTAAACGCGCGTCAGCCAAAACAGTCGCAGATGCATTCTTACACAGATACATTTTAAAATACGGTGCACCGATAAAAGTCATTAGCGATAACGGTAAACAATTCGTTAGCCAAATATTTGAAAACATTTGCACTGGACTTGGCATACGCCATATCAAAATGGTTCCGTATAGACCACAGGCAAACATAGCAGAAAGAGTTAATAAAAATATTGTAAAAATAATTCGAAGTTATGTTAGCACACATCACAAGCGCTGGGATGGCTACATAAATGAGTTAGCTTATGCTTTAAGAACGGCAAATCACGATACTACGGGAAAAAAACTCCAGCAGAATTATTTTTAGGACGGAAGTTAATTACGCCATTAGATAAATTATTCTTTGTGCAACAAAGAGAGCAAGAATTTAAACAAAAAGATGTGCAAAAACTCTTATTGACCAGGCGGCGGTTAAAAGCTCGGATACGGCAAGAAATAGACAAAAATTATACTATGATAGAAAACGCCGTGAAGCAGATTTTAAAGTTGGGGATAAAGTGTTGAAGCGGAAATTTTCTTTATCAAGTGCCCCAGACAATTTTACTGCAAAGTTAGCTCCAAAATTTGAAGGCCCCTATGTAATTCAGGAAATCAAGGGAGTCGTATTGTACCTTAAGAACGAGAGAGGGGAAATCTGTAAAGCAAGTCCCGACCAGGTGAAAAAATATTATAATCAAAATGATTTTGAAATCCTTAAAAGTTTCTTGCAGGACTCAAGCGTAAAAGAAGTAGAAGGTCCAGAAATAACGTCACCCGCTCCACCACCCAAGAAGCAGAGAACTGAAGAGAAACCTAGCCCTTCTACAAGTCATGCGACGGTACCGAAAAGAAGAAATGAAAACGTTCAGACTCCAGCATTTAAGAAATACAAGAAAGCAAACGCCGCCGCGTAAAGAACTTTGGTAAAGAGGAAAAACACCACTTACAACGTATCGCAGTAGAAATTCTACATCGAGGAGAAACGCTTCCAGGGCCAGAGAGTCAGGTGCAAACAAGGCCGCCGTTCCCGAGAACGAAAAGACAGCAGGAGGAACGAAAAGACCACCACCAACAGAAGAAATTCAAGCACGATTCCAGACCGGAGGAGGACGCCAAGACCAGCCGTCCAGGGGGGGAAAAACGGAAAAGACAGCAACCCGACGACTACCACTCCAAGAGGCCAGCATGCAGAGGGCGAAAAAGAAAAAGCAACGTGGACGACACTCGAAGGACACTAAGGAGACGACTGACGTCGATGAAATCTATAACGTGGGAGCAGTTCTGCCAGAAGAGGATGTCGGAGTTCCAATCATCGAAAACTCAAAGATAAGTTAAAATCTTCTATAATTTTTTTTTCTTTTGTTCCGAAATGTTATGCGTAAATACGAAGTTCTATGTTTTGACGGAAGTCAATTTGTCTCGGTTGAGACTTAGTTTTGTTTTACTTTATTTAGCTAAGGCAAAAGTATTATTTTCTTTAAGTATAAAATCTAAGAACAAGCAGTTTCTGTTGGTCGAAAGACTAATTCTGTTATGTTAAAGCCAAAATTTGGCCGAAGATAAAAATAACTTCGTATTCTTGTATTAATAAGAATTTTAGTTTCAGTGCCGCCAGCTTGGCGAAGAATGAGTAAAGTAAAAAAAAAAATTTTTTTTCTCTTATTCATTTTATGGTAAATTGTAAAAATCATATGTATTAGAATTTTGTAAATATACGTAATTACTTGAAAGTTATGTAAAAGTAGAATTTAGTCTAGAAGCATAAAAATTTTAGATGCTAAAAGTAAATGCTCAAAAGCAATGAATTCAAATTTCAGTATTAAACTGTAGATAAAATCATGCTTTAGAGCGAAAGCCTGCATGTCTAAAGATATGAATGAGGGGGAAGTTAGAATGAATGTGTTTTGTAGGGTTCTCCACCTACACTTGAATTTTAAGAATGTTAAAAAGTAGCTCATCGAGTTGTAGAATGTCGAGTAAGGTGTGTCTATTTGGTCGTTGAATTCTAACAAATCATTGTGGTTAGGGGAAGTGTTGCAATACTAAAACACGAATATTCCCGTTTGACACCACACATGGTGGAGAGCCAGGGTAAAGTTAAATTCATGTTTGAATACTTGAATGAATGTGAATTAAGCAGTAACTAAGGAAAATAAATCGTTCAAAAACAAAAAAACTTATTCAGTGTCAAGAAAGTGTAAAATTATAATGTATTTAGAAAGATACTGATACTTATTCCTTCCAGATGCTGGAAGGAAGAGAACAGATTGATTGCTGAAGTCCAGGAAAGGTTGTTGCTGTAAGAAGAGAGAATTAAATAAGTATCTACAGAAATTTATTCTACCTTTTGTGAGAAAACAGATTTTTTTTATGTAAACGAGGCTCTCTTAAAATTTAGTTCAGAATTGTGGAAACTTTTCAACAGGTCGTTTCTAGGACCTGCTTCCAAGTTTTACCAAATTCTGGCAGCGGCAAATGTAGGGTTTATATTTATTTTAACTAACATTTATTTTAAGTTTAAACTACTCTCTTTCCTGTCAAGCCTTACTTTCCCCTGGAATTGCCAATGCCAGAGTATGTAAATTTTAGTAGAACGCGCAAAGGATTCAAATTGTCAGCGGAAGTAATCTGAGTTAAATAGAAGGGAAACGAGTTCGAAAGTGTGCTTTCTTGCTTCACGAGCGTGGAGGTGGCTAGTTAGAAATTGAAGAACCACGCGTTTTCGGCCTGTGTGCTTGCCTCGGCAGATGTTAATCTTTTTCAACGTAATATTCAGAAGTTTGCTGAATTATCAGCGGTATCTTAGAACGCGGTGAGGTTAGTTACGTTTAGAGAGCCTCGTAGTTAGTCACTTGTTATTATTCTTTTTTAGTTTCTTATTTTATTTTTACCGCCGGGTCGGCGTAGTAGTTTGCGAGCGTCAAGAGCACGCATCTGTAATTTCTAAAGTTGAATAAAAAGGGATTTAAACCCTTCTCAAGACTTTGTATACTTTCCAGTTCATAGCAGTCACCACTATTGTTGCGTGCAGGTTGGAAGCGCGCAACATTACAAGCTGAATACCACTAAATACCGAGAAAGGAAGAGGCTATCGGTTTCATCATCCCGCGTTTCTCTGTTAACTACGTTTTCGACTTTTAAGATAGCTAAATTTTTAGTCTCGTCTTTGAAAAATTCACGTGCTGTTTTTTCATGCACATTGAGAGATAATTGTCTTGATACTGGCAGATATTTTTTGGCCAATTGGTTAAGACCGCTGAATGCTACTGGTTCAAACTGGGTTCGAACCTAGACAAACACAATGGCCACATAATTGCTTTTCTTAGTTTTCCTAATATAAAGCTGAATACAAGTCAATTTTGTTTTGAATGTCATCCACGAAGACATCCCTTCCTTAGGCAGGTGGCTGTCGTGGCCTTTGTTCTATTCCAAATACTAACTTTTTGGGGCGACATTGTTTCACATGATTCCTGTGTGAAACAATGTCGCTGCAAAATGTGGGTTATTGGAATAGAACAAGAGGAGAAATTAGAAGCAGATTTGTGTGAATATCTTAATTTTTAAGCAGTAATTTAAAACATTAAGTAAATTAAACGAAATATTTTCAGGCGAAAGATCTCCTTCCCAGGCCTAAAGCAGGTGAACCATACCAAGCTCGCATAGCACCGAGTCACTTGAATGTCTTTCTCAATTTAGCGAATCTTATTTCGAGAAATGGATCCAGACTGGAAGAAGCAGATGCGGTAAGATATCTGTCTAATAATTATTTTATTAAGAAGAATGGAAATTAATATTACATTTTTAATTTTTTCAAAATATTCGTAGTGGCTTTTCTAAAGCAGATTGCCGTAAATAATGTAAAATAATAAACTATTTGGTTGTGCTTCTTGAGCTACAAATGGCCAGCAAAGAAGAATTACAGATGACTGCCTTTCCATGGAAATAGAAATCGTGCATTAAAATTTAACCTAAAATATTACTTATTATTCTCAAATTCTGAATACGTCTGTAGCAGAACTTTGAAAACAGACGTATTACAGCTCAGTTACGTGAAGCCTTTGAACTTTTAACTAGAAATTTCATTTTTTCCTCTGTTATAGCTAGGTACAGTTTTAAAATCAAATTTTACGAATGCGTTAAACAAGACAGGTACGACTAAATCAAAAATTTAAGCGAAATGCTCAAAAAAAAAAAAAAAAAAAAGAACGCCCATAGGAAACCATTTACCTAAACCTTTTTGATTAACATAACCTGATAACATGTTTACACCCTACCCTCCTTTTAAAATGTTTCAAGATTCTCACAGAATTTGACAAGCCCCTTGTCTTACGACTTCAAACCACAGAATTTGGCAATCTGCCCTTTCTCTTACATTTCCGCTTAAGAAATGTTAGCCAGTTTTCCGGTCCCTCATAAACTGCAAACGTAGGTTTTTTTATTGTTGTTCCTTTTCATTTCTGTAACTTTTATGCTCTCAGCATTTACAGCGTGCTTTGTTTTTAAGTTCCCAGCACATAAAATATTAAGTATTTAAATGTAATTTTCGTTTTTCGAAAATTGCTGGTTTTTAGAATTAAGAGTTTAGCTAATCATGTTTTTGAGTCAGCTCTTTTTAAATTTTGATTATAAGACTCGTCCGTACGATTTCATAATTGTACAAATGAATAACATTTTCGAATGCATTTCAGTACAGTTTTTCTTTTAGCATTCTATGTTTTTGTATTTTTTGCTATTCAGTTTAGGTTGATTTTAAATTGACTTATAATCTGTGCTTGTAACTAATATAGTAACGAACAGCATGTCGGGGTAGTTCTTGGCATTATATTATTTTGCATACAAGAAAAATTTATTAACATTGATTTGAGTCGCATAATTTCAGGAAGAACGAAACATTTTGTTCGGCAGTTATTAATCGTCCGGGTTTAATGTTTTAAATACTAACACTTTAAAAAGTTCTATTTGAAACATTAACACAGTTGATTAATAGTTTTTATTCTTATTGTTACCTTTTTATTTAAATTTTAATTAGTTACTCCAGTTAGTGCATTTTTCTAGCTTTAATAGCACTATGGAAGTGTAATTTACTTATCTAGCTTTAATGATTTCACTTCCATTTAATAAGAGACAAATTAATTACTCTACACATTTTTCCTCAGATAGGATTAAAAAAGTATTTATTTTCGTACTAATTGCTGTTAATTCAATCCTTTGTAGCGTAACCCCAGGAATTTTTCAATTAAATCTTCATTATTTTCTTTTCTTACTAGCAGTTTTCAGTATATACATATATATCTTTCTAGTCTATATATATATATATATTCTTTCAAAAGTATATATATATATATATAGTTTCACCTGCATATATACAGGTATATATCAAGTATTCCGTTAACGCGGCGACAAGGTTGGAGTACAGTAATGGGCTTTGAGTGGAGGAACAGTTGTCACAGAACATGCTGTCGCAAACCACGTTTAGTTTATGAAAAAGAAAGCAGAAGTCAGTTGACCGTTGATTTCGCTCCGACATTGGCCTGCCATTTATGAAGCTTCCTAGCACGCATTTTGTAATGCAAAATTGCGGACTGCAGGCGACGGAAGTTAGTAGTACTATTGCGTCGGTAGTTGCGAGGAACAACTATTTCTCGCTTTAATTTGGCAAAGACATTACTCACTACACGAGCTAAGAATACGCTGGTGCATTTGAGTTTTGACCAAACATATGGCTTTAGACACTTAGTACAGCAGATGTAACAAGAATAATATCCGAGGAGGCGCTACCTACACCATATCACCTTCAGCAAGACGCACAATGAGCAGATGTAGTCTATGGAAATTCCGCACGTCGGTGTTCCGCAGAAAGCTCCACACAGATTCATTGTCAACATCTGAGAAGATATGAGGTAGTGATTACATGTTGGGGCTGTACATTCTGTTTGAAAACCTCAATACCGTAACGTACCGTTGTTTCCTAAAGCACGTCTTCCCTAGTTTGTTGCAAGTTGCACCTTTGACAGTGGAGATGGACATATAACTCATGTGTAATGATGCACGAACAGTCTTCTTCACTGTTTTGTGTTACCACCTACATGTTATATATCCTGACAAGTGCACTCGATGAGGCGGACACGTTGCTTGGCCTCCACTTTCGCCGGCCTTCATTCTCTTGGATTTCTTCTTTTGGAGATACCTTAAATCACTCTTTCGTGAGAAGTTGAAGAATGTCGTGGCGCCGTTCGTCTTCCCTACGGCAGTCATGAACAACACGTCGCGGCATCTTCAGGCGCACCCGACAATTGTTTCAATATCGCTGTGGGCTATTCAATGATGTCCGCAGCTGACAGTTCGAACAGCACCTCTAATAACTTCTTATTGTTCTCTTAACCGCGATGTAGATCATGTACCATATGCTGTTTAAAACATGCTATGCACTATAATGCATCTCCTCTCACGAGTTAGGCCTGGAAATGTATAAATATGGTTTTCAATAGCATGTCCCAGGGAAATTATTGTTTCTCTTAATGTCTGTTATCATCCCTCCCCGAGTTTTTGTCATCTCGTTGACGGAACACACTATATACATATACATATTATTAGCAGAAAATTGTTGATTTTTATTACTCTTTCAGCTGTATAGGCAAGCCATTAGCATGAGATCGGATTACATTCAAGCTTATATTAATCGAGGTGACATCTTGTTAAGATTGAATAGGTAAGAAAGTTTTCTTCTTCTTATTTTTTAATTCTCTTATTTAACTTTTCATTAAATATATTTGGAATGTACACACTTACTTTTCAAAGGAGAGCATATTTTGAAATTATGCTTCTTCCAAAAACAAAAGTAAAGAAAGAAAAAAGAAAAGCATTATTGAAGCTTAAACTATTTAAAAGCCTTTAACTGAAATTTACCTTAAACTACGAAAATGTGATTTTCAAATCAATCAGGAATCACTGCTATACGAATATGATTATCAAGTATCATTTTTAAGCTGTTATCCATGAAATATTTGCAGTGATGAACAAAATATTGTTCTAATCACGCTTTTTTCTCAATAAAAGATTCTTACCATTGATTTGCATCATGGTGCTTCGAGTACAAGTATTATTAAATTGTGATGGTAAAAGTATATGTGTGTGCGACCCGTTAAATCTGGCTCATAGAATGGTACAGATCATTGAAACAATTTCATAATGAAGATATCATAACCATTCCGATTTGAAACAACATCTTAAGGATTTCTTCCTCTCATAGGGTTCCGGGACTTTTATACAAATTATTAAGTTTCATAAAGACATAAAATTTTCATAGTTACTTCTGCAATCATTTTCAACCTGCCTTGAGAGATCGGTTGATTTAGAATTAACTTCAAGGAAATAAGTTTAAATGAAGTGCAATAAAAAATGTATATAATTTAATAGGCCGTACATAGAAGCTACGTGGTGCCCAGATAAGATTTTTTCAATTTTTTATTCATTAAATTTTATATTTCAATTATCATATATTTATATAAACATGCATGAATAATAACAATAATGACGCAAATGAAAAATATTTCATTTATGTTTGTAAGGATCTTAAGTTTTACTAACGTTTATTTTATTTTAAATCTTTACTATCACTTCTTATTTTCTACTTCCGGCCAGAATTAAAAGCTTTAACTTATTTATGCAAATTTGTCTTGCGAACGCCAAGTACTTAAGTTGTGGCTTTTTGCCAAGCAAGAGAGAGGAAGGAGTTATTAGAAGCAGGCCGCTTGCCATAGTAGTTTTACTCGGTTGCTGGTTGCCTTCAAGGCCAGAGGTTTAATCCTCTTGATAATTTTAAAACGTATCGTAGTGTTAGCAGTTCTCTGTACTACATACGGCTTTTTGTTAATATACGGCCAATCTTGGAGTAGGCACTTGTTGATTAATCCAAAGTTAGTTTAGTTAGAGTTTAGTTAATATTTTTATATTCTTACGTTCAGACCACAAGTGGTTGGTCTCTGTATTCCGAAGTCCGGAAATCATTGTAAAGAGAGAAAAATAAAGGGTTTCGTATACCCTTCCTGTGTGTATTGTCTACTTCCCAAATTTATTGAACATAGCTTAAGTAAGCTCCCTGTTCCGAGTCAGGACAGTTAATGTTCCCAAAGCAAGTAAGGAGGAACACAGAACCTGATAGTGGCGCCCGACGAAGAAGAATAACCATGGCCGAGTTTCAAGAAGAACCTGTGCTGCCTGCAGAAGCGGCTCAGAATCCAGAAATGCCAGCTGCCCCCTGGAAGGATTTGGTTACATCGTCCAGACCATGCGCGCATCGATGAAAACCAGAAGCAACATTTTAATGGAAACTCACCGGTAACCAGTTTTTTTGGAAAAATTGGATGACCACTTCATGCTGTATCCAGTGCATGAGTTCCAGAAAGTCACCTTAGCTACCAGCGCTTTGAGGGGCCAAGCGCTTAATTGGTTCAAATGTATAGGCAGAAGCCTCTTGGGTCAAGCGGGAAGTCCCACCTATACTTACGAAAATTTTAAGACTGCCTTAGTAAAAGCCTTCCCTGTCGTAAGAGATCGTGCAAGTTTAGAACGGAACTCTTCAGCATATACCAGAAACGAATTGAAAATCTTCTCAAGCTTTATTTTAAGAAAAATTCACGTCTTCAAACTCTTGTATGGAAACCGTCCGGATCCTGAGATAATTCAAGTGATTTTGCCGAGGTTACTTCCCCAAGTACAAGACTTTATTGAATTAAGGAATCCGACTACACTGGAAAAGTTATTTGAGCTAGCAATCCAGTTTGAAAGTAGAAGAACGGCGGACATTGAAAGAAGACGCCAGTATGAGCAACGAAGCCAATTTGGTGCGCCAAGACCACAGCAAAGTCAAGAACACGGCTACGGAAGCAAAGCGAATCAGTGGGCAAGGAAACCCGAGTATCTAAAAACAACCGGCGAACGTCGACAGTTCAATAGTAAGCCAGAAAAAAAAAGTCTGAAGGCCAGTGGAAAAAGAAGGAAGGCATGGAAAGGAAGAAACAAGATTTAAACTAAAACGGATTTCTGCTGACGGGAGGGTGCGGAAATCCGAAGGCCAAGAAAACCCCTCTTCCTTCAAGTTAAATACAGTGATGGTGAAAAATTTGACTCTTCCAAAGATTGAAGTGTTGGTGAATAACATCCCAGCCACCGCACTCCTGGATACAGGCGCGCAGTGTTCCTGTGTGGCAGAAGATTTTTTTAGGAAGTATTTCCGTAAATACCGCATATATAATTCGGATAATACGACAGTGTTAGCTGCGCAGGGAGAAAGATGCAAGTGCATAGGTAAATTACCATTATACATTCGTATCAAGGACGAGCAAGTAAAGATTATGTTTTTTATCGTAAAGAATTTGCAAGCACATATCATCTTAGGGATAGATTTTCTTTCAGAGGCAGAAGCAACGCTGGATTTTAACGAAGCGTCCCTTAAGCTGACGATGAAACCAGTTCGAGAAGAAAAAAACAGAACCACCAACGTTAAAAACCTCGACCACCTGCCTAAGGGAAGAGCAACAAAAAATTCGACAAGTGGTAAGTGAATTTGCTTCGTTATTTAGTGATATTCCCGGATTTACTCAAGTTACTAACCATAGTATCGACACCGGAGATTCACTGCCAGTTCGCCACAAACCATACCGATATGATAAGAATAAAGAAAAAATTATAGAGTGGCACATACATTAGAGATATGTTACGTAAAAAGATCATAACGCCCATCTCAAGTAGTTATGCTAGCCCGGTTGTGTTATGTAAGAAAAATAATGACTATCCGGTAACACATCCGAAAAGGTGGCGTTTTGCAATTGACTATCGTAAATTAAACTCCATGACTAAATATCCGGTATATCCGTTACCTATTATTCGAAGAAATTTCTAAGGAACATAACTTCTACCAAATATATGACTACGTTAGACTTAACGACTGGTTATTTTCAAATAAGGGTTAGACCGGAAGATGTGCCTAAGACTGCTTTTATAACCAAGTCTGGCACTTATGCATTCCTGCGTATGCCGTTTGGCCTTTCAGGGGCACCGGCAACATTTCAGCGATGTATGGACATTGTGCTAAGGCCTGTTCTTGGAAAGTCCACATTTATCTATTTAGACGATATCATTATTACTAGTGATAATCTGGACCAACATGTACAGGATTTAAGACAGGTGTTTTCATTATTAAATGAGGCCAGTCTAAAAGTTAATGTCGAAAAGTGCAAATTTGCAGCCCCTGAATTAAAATACTTAGGTTACAAAATATCTCAGAAAGGAATCGAGACAGACGAATCAAAAAATAACCGCTGTGCAAAAGTATCCGCCGCCAAATACGGCGAAGAAGCTCTCTTCTTTTCTAGGACTTTGTTCATATTATAGGTCCTTTATAAAAGATTTTGCAGCTATTGCTGAACCATTGTTAAAATTAAAAAGGAAAAAGGCAAGATTCTCGTGGACGGCCGAAGCCAATAGTGCTTTCGAAAAATTAAAGCAAGCATTAACGCAAGCCCCTGTTTTGAAATTTCCTGAAAATGATGAGAATTTAGAAATTTCAGCGGATGCTTCGGATTATGCGGTAGGAGCGGTACTTTCGCAAAATCAGCAGCCCGTGGCATTTTTTAGTCGAACTTTAAATCAAAACACAAAGAAATTATTCCGCGACTGAGAGAGAGGCACTTGCAGTTCTGTTAGCAGTGCAAAAGTTCCGAGTCTATTTTGGAAGGGCGCCAATAACAGTGTATTCTGATCATGCGGCGGCGGTAACTAGATTGTACTCAGGGAAAAAACTTATCCCCAAGGTTAATAAGATGAGCAATCAAGTTACAAGAGTATAATCTGGTAATCAAGCACATCCCCGGAAAGGAAAATATCGTAGGAGTTGCCCTATCCAGAATAAAAAATAGATGAAGAAGGTAATACTGTAAAGGTGGCAATGCTCACAGCATGTACGATAAATTCCCGAGAAACTGTAATAACCGAACTGGGTAAGGATCCTGAATTTAAAAACATTTATGAGTATTTAAAGGATCCTGAAAATTTTAGCCACCAAGATATTGTGGCGATAAGAAATAGGGCGGCCCATTACGAACTAATAGATGGTCTATTATTTTATACAAAAACTACAAATTCCAACAACGAATTTCGACCTGTTATCCCAGCTAGTCTTAGATTAAATATACTGCAGGAGTTACACGACTGCCCTTTAGCTTCTCATGCTGGTATTCGAAAAACCATCCAACGCGTACGCGAAGCAGTTATTTTCCTGAACTGCAAAAGTTAACAAGGGCGTATGTCCAGTCCTGCCCAACATGTCAAGCAGTTAATTATATTAATTTCCGCCCGGCCGGGTTTCTAAATAGCATTAAATCCGAATTTCCAAATGAAATAATTGGCATCGATTTATTGGGCCCTTTCCCAAAAAGTCAGTTAAATAAAAGTCGGTATCTCCTTGTTATGGTTGATCATTTTAGTAAGTGGACCGAAATTGTTCCCTTAAAACGAGCCTCCGCGAAATTAGTTACTGATTCTATTTTAAATAAATATATTTTAAAATACGGGGCGCCCCTAAAAGTTATATCGGATAATGGTCCTCAATTTGTAAGTAATATATTTGAAGACATGTGCCAAAAACTGGGCATACGTCATTTAAAAAAATGGTCCCGTATCGGCCGCAATCAAATATAGCGGAACGGGTCAATAGAAATATAGTGAAAATTATCCGTGTAGTTATGTTAAAAATTTTCATAAAAGCTGGGATAACTATGTCAATGAATTAGCTTTCGCCCTTAGGACCGCAAAAACATGATACAACGGGCAAAACTCCTGCTGAGTTATTTTTAGGCAGAAAGATTATAACGCCGTTAGATAAAAATTATTTTATGTTCAACAAAGAGCCCCAGAATTTAAAATGGGCGATATAGAAAAAATTAATTAAAGAAGCAAAAAAGAACACTGAAGTAGCACAGAGAAAACAGAAACTTGTATTATGATACATGAAACGACGGGGAGTAACTTATAAAGTAGGAGATGAAGTGTTTAAAAATTAAGCATTCACTTTCTTCAGCACCAGAAGATAAAACTGCCAAAATTTTTCCACGATTTGAAGGACCATATGTCATAGAAAAAATAACTCAGGCTGTAGTGGTGTTAAAAGCCAAGGAATGGTGGTGAAACATGCTCCGCAAACATTGACCAGATAAAACCATTTCTATAATCGTAATAAAATGCAAATATTTAAAGATCTTTTTCAGGATCCGGCACGGCAGGCACTGCAGGCACAACCTCCAGAGGTGGAACAACGACAATCACAAGGGCGAGCCATTAGGAGGCAGGATCAATTGAAAAGAAAGTTTCCCCGTTGGAAAATTGAAGGTAAGAAGAAAAAGAAGCCGTTCCACCGACCAGAAAAGCGAGAGCACGGCCACCCGCAGAATGAAGAAGGGAGAAGTACGATGAATGCAAAGAGAGCCAGGAGAAAGACGGCAACTATAACCCGGCTTCAAAACGGAAGATCTACCCATCGGAGAGGAGTTTACGCAGCAAATGTCGACGAATTGATGAAGGAACACCAGCTGCGGAGGCAAAGAAACAAGGAAAATTTGAACAGCCAGCAACGAGATCCAAGCAGGAACGAGAGAGAGTTGTCCCGGTTCCGCCAAGACCAGCTGCCATCAAACGGCCGAGACCACAGGCAGAGGCTAAAAAGAAGGTCTTCAAGGGTGACCAAACTGGAAGGAAAAGAAAGCTCATGGAGGAAGGAACGAAAGGGCGAACCCGCACAAGAAGGAAGATAAACCAAACCGTAGTCTTCGCTACCTTCCAGGACTGGGCAGAAAAAAGGATGTCCGAATATCACAAAGATAAGTAAAACTTTATGTTACTTTGAAACCTTAAGTTAATTTTTCATTCTTACTGCAAGTGGCAGAATTCAAGACGTTTTACCTCATGTGAGGTCTACCTTTATCGCCAAAAAGGCGAGAAATGAGTTGTTACCTATTTTGGTATTATGTTTTTCAATTACTCGCGAGTAAAACTAAAATTAATGTATAATAGGAATGTGTAAATACTTGAATATTGTAAAAGTTATTGTATAAAATTTTATTTAAAAGATTCTGGCAAGAAAGAAGTTTTAGTCTGAAAGACTTTTGAAATGTAGTATTTCAATGTAGAAGAATTGGCACTTGCTTGGAAAAGAATAGAAGTTAACAATGTACTACTAATGTATGTTTTAAAATGCGTAAAATTAACGGCATTTTAATATGTCCTTATATACAATGTGAACTGTTATTTTAAACGTTAAGAAATACTGTGATATGTTAAAAGTGAAAGTAATGCCAAAAATTTTAACTTATTCGTGTGACTGTAAAAAGAGCAAATTATTGTGAATATGTGTTAAAGGTTGAATGAATGTAGTTAGGCTCTCTGACGCTACACTTCAGAGTTAGCCACTTTCAGAATAGTACCTCAGGGTTTAGAGATGAATATAAGGTGTGTTCTGAGGTCTTGTTATGTTGAATTTTAACACGTTAGTGTTTTGATTGCAGGCGGTAGTGTTGAACACTTGTACATAAACACGCTCGTGTTTGGTGTTTTCCTTTACAACACATGTCAGAGAGCACGGGGAGATAATTAAATAACGTCATGAATGAAATAAGAATGTTAAAACAGAAATATAAGTATTCATGTTACTTGCCATTTAATTGTGTAACATTTCATTAAACTAGTTTTCCTTCCAGATCTCTGGAAGGAACCAGATTTCAACTAAGAACTGTTTAGATGCAGTACAGATGGAAAGTAATTGTCCATGGAGTTGATAATGTAAAAACGACTTTTTTTTTAAAATTTCTAGTTTCTAGTGAGAAATGTTTGTAAAAGATTGGCCTCGCGTTAGATTCTAGAGCTAAAAGTTTTCAACAAGGTCGTTTTAGACCTCAGTTTCAAACTAATTAACTCTGGCGGGAAGTATGTAAGGATCTTAAGTTTTACTAACGTTTATTTTATTTTAAATCTTTACTATCACTTCTTATTTTCTACTTTCGGCCAGAATTAAAAGCTTTAACTTATTTATGCAAATTTGTCTTGCGAACGCCAAGTACTTAAGTTGTGGCTTTTTGCCAAGCAAGAGAGAGGAAGGAGCTATTAGAAGCTTGCTTTAGTAGTTTTACTCGGTTGCTCGTTGCCTTCAAGGCCAGAGGTTTAATCCTCTTGATAATTTTAAACGTATCGTTGTGTTAGCAGTTCTCTGTACTACATACGGCTTTTTGCTAATATACGGCCAATCTTGGAGTAGGCACTTGTTTGATTAATCCAAAGTTAAGTTTAGTTAGAGTTTAGTTAATATTTTTTATATTCTTACGTTCAGACCACAAGTGGTTGGTCTCTGTATTCCGAAGTCCGGAAATCATTGTAAAGAGAGAAAAATAAAGGGTTTCGTATAACCTTCCTGTGTGTATTGTCTACTTCCCAAATTTATTGAACATAGTTTTAGTAAGCTCATTGTTTCGAGTCAGGACATTTAATGTTCCCAAAGTAAGTAAGGAGGAACACAGAACCTGATATGTTTACTATCTGTATAAACTTCAGATAGTTAACATAAATGAAATATTTTTCCTCATTCATTTACATTTACTATCTGAATAAAAGCTTGAAACTTCAAACAGCAGAATTTTCATGCTTTGATTCAGATAGTAAACATAAATGAAATATTTCTTGTCTACCTAAAAATAGGCAAGAAATTTCTGTTGGTTACACTTTTTAACGTAAACGAATGATTGTTAAATATTAAAATTTCAGGTTAATATTCAAATAATTATAACGTGTTTAATTAACCGCTAAATAACTCACCTAAACTAAAAATAATAGATTTCCAGATAGGACAAAATTTAAGTACAAAATTTTACAACTTGTTATCTTTTTTTTATTAAATTTTTTTAAGCTTTCCGAAAAAATACATGTATTTGTATGCAAATAAGCATAAATTTCATTTTTATTTTTCTTGATATAACGTTTAGCTATAGCATCTCATGGCGTTTCAATTTTGATAAAGTTTGTAAACTTGGAGAAAATTTATTAGCTATCTTATTATACGCAAAGTGTAAATGCTCATCAGTGAGTATGGTTCTCTTTTTAGCTTTATTAATTTACAACAGCAGGAAAACAAACGGTTCGCATGTAAATGTATTTTTAAACATACCGATTATTCTTATTGCAAAAATTCGTAATTAAGAGAATTTATGTTTCGACAAGTAAAAAAAAATTGTTAATCAAATCTGTATTTTAAATATTAAGAGTGTAAATTAATTAGCTCTTTGTAGATTTTCTGTGGTATTACTGTAATGCTAATGTAAATAATATAAAATTGGACTCAAAAGCATTAACTTTTCTTCAAATTCTTTTCCAGTAGTTAATTTCCTAATGCTACTTATTTTACGGGAAATGCATTTGGGAGCCACGTAACCTGACTCTGGGGACCACATGCAGCTTGCAGGCCCCAATTTGAGACCAATGAATTTTCATGCTGTTTGGATTGTGGAATATATTCTTATGTACGAAGTTCTTATGTAAATCCACGATGGCGAAATTGTTAGTGTAAATCCATTCCTCGAAAGTGTTGCGAATTTTATTTCCTTGAACTTTGCTTTCTTTCGCAATAAAATTAATGCCTTGCTGATAATTAAATAAGAAATGTAAAGCGCTTCTTATAAATTTATGTTAATGATTGAAAAATAGCAATTAAGTTATAACTTTAAAAACAATATTTATATTAGTGGAAATTTTATCTCATTTCTTTTTCCTACAGGACTCAAGAGGCACAAGCTGTTTACGAAAAGGCACTTCAATTTGATGACAACAATCCAGATATTTACTACAATGTAAGAGTAAATTCTTATCGATAATCTTTCCCATTTCTTTTAATACTATGCATGTGTCTGATTTCTTTTTTATGTTTTAACTTGAAACATAGCCCATTAGCTGCCCGGATTTAAATCTGTGCAAAAGATTTGAGTTGGTGTTAAATTCATAGTTATTCATACATTTTTAAAACATTAAAAATTTACAGGAAATAAATTACGCAAGCAATAACTAATTTTACAGAGCAAAGAAAAGTAAATTTATTACGTTCTTTTCACAGACCTGTAATGTTTATTTTATTTTTTTTTTCTTTTGGTAGTATATACCAACTCCAAACTTCTAACAAACTTAGGGCGAATTACCGCTGTGCCTGAAAAGAACTGCACAGTCTTAAAAAGGTTTAGAAACAAACCTTTTTTATAAAATCAGAACTTAGTTATAAACCCACTTTTGTACTTGACAGAATCAGCCAGCACTCTTGGCGATGAAACTCAAAGGTAACAGTTAAATTCAAGAATTGTAACTAAGCCTAGTAATCAAAACGAATACTCAATATAAGGTAACTAAGTTGGCTCAGAACTTAAACCGGCGTGACAATTTAAATATCGGCAACACTAACGCAAAGCCGAGTATATACAATCTTATCTGAGCTGGCGAAACTTAGTGTACTCTAAGTTATGGAGTAACGGTTATGCAAATTAAAGTAACCTTACAAATGCTAAGATGTCTACCTTTGTTGGCACGTCAGGAAATAAATTGTCTTTGTGCCTCGACTTTCTGCTAATCGTTAGGATCTGTCAAACAGTATTACTAATGATGTGGTTGTGATTGATCGTAATACGCTGCCCTTCAAAAGTTAAGGAGCAGCATGTTTTTTGGGTCTAATTTTAAAATGAAGCAACATAGAAACAAGAAATTTAGAACACATGTTCACTAATCAGTTACTTAATGAATGCGACATAGAATAGTTCTAAAGTTCAACACAAACAGGAATTACAACAGAAACTTGAAGAGAAATCCAGTCGTAGATAGACAGTATATCACAGTTTTTTGAGGAAGAATCAGAATCGGGTGGTAACATTACAAAAAATGGGTTCTAATAAGGAATGTGACCACCCCTAGCTACAATGCATTGGCGGCAGCGACGTTACACGCTGCCAATTAAATGTCGGTCAGCGAAATGGGAAGCAACTAACAGACATAGAATAATCCTTGTTCAAGCTCATCTAACGACTTAATGGAGGAGGACTAATGCAGCATGCTGTATCTTAAGGTAGTTCCAAAGATGCTCTATCAGATTCAGGTCTGGGAATTGAGCTGGCCATTCATCCACTCTATACCGTGTCCCTCAAATTATTCTTCAGAAAACTATGTTCGGTGCAGTCGCGCATTAACGTCCATGAGAAGAAATCCAGGACCAATAATAGTGGCATATGGGCGGACATATTGATCAAGGATCTCGTCTCGATATCTCACACCAGTCAAAGTTCCTCCATGGAACACATGCAGGTCAGTGTGACCACCGAGAGAGATCCCAGCCCAAACAATTATTTCACCTCTGTAATTTTGTCTTTCTACAACGTGGGGTTGATTGTATCTGGTGCGTTGTGCCTTGCAGATCAGCTGACACCCTGAATCACTCTCCAGTGTGAACCTGAACTCGTCTGTGAAGAGAGCAGACGATCATTGTTGACTAATCCAAGAGACGTGTTCTCTTGCGCAACATAAACGGGTACTTCTGTATTCTCGGATCACGGGGACACAAACAACTGGTCGTCTTGTATACAGACTCGTATTGTGCTAGCGTCTGCGCACTGTAGTAGCTGAGATTCTTGTGCCTATTGCCTCTAAATGATCTGCCATGAGCTGAGACACAGTAATGTTACTCCTCCTTCGGTCCGAAAAAGCTAAATAAGGGTCTCCCGCAGGTGTTGGAACTCTAGGTCTGCCTGGGGGGAACATCCAGAAGCAAGAAATGCTAGCAACGTGCGTTTACAAAGCTTCGCAATTCCGACTAATGCAACTGAGAAATTAATGTAAGAACTTCTTCGTCGACATTTTAGTATGCGTTCTTTTTTGTTGTGTTCCAAGTTCCAATAGTTTTTATAAATAAATCGGGGTATTTTTTGCATTACAATTAGTTTTAATATTAGCTTGTGAAATTTTCCAGTAATGTAAGAAACAGCGATGAAATTTTTTCAGGAATAGAGAATTTTACCGAAAATATTTTAAAGGAGTAATTGGAGAAATGTGTATCCTAGATAGACGCTCTTGCGGAAAATTGCACGAAACCGAGTTTCCTCAATTCTCTAATGTTTTTTAATTTATAATAAATCGCTGTGAACTGTGGGAAAAGTTTATCGCGGAAACATTACAGAAGGAATTGAAAAAAAAATGTAAGTATTTTACTTTTAATGTATCATTTAATTCTTATTTAATAAATCAAATTTGGATTTTAAATTGTTAAAGTATGTTTCCTTTCATATGTTGATAATGTTCATGGATTTACGACAAATGTCAATAGTTTGGAAATCTTTCTAAAACAAAAAGCCGCGAAAACCACCAACTTGCACCCGATAAGGAGCTTTTACGTTTTCATCCGTTAATCGGCAAATTGCTCCCAGCTTGTAGCATTAATACGTAAGTATCCAAGAATCAGCAAAGTTACCATAGCAACAATAATCGTATTTGATATTTTTTCTAGACAATCTGTAGAGATTTATCTGAATAATTAACTGAATTTGTTCTTTTTGAATGAACAGAATAATCTATTTTTTCCTATTCAATAAGGAATTCGATTTTGATTTTTTTTAGGTTTCTTGGATATGATTCGTCTTACTATAATATGAAATTCATTAAATTTTTTTTTTCAGTTAGGAGTCGTATTTCTTGAACAAAGAAAAATGGATCAAGCGCTATTTTATTTCAATAAGGCTCTGAAGATCAATCCTGAGCACGAAGTAAGTTTTTCGCAAAATAATGGGTATTTGTACACTGCGGAAAGGGTATAGTCTATATTTTCGGTTTTACCTGGTTGATCCTCCTATTTTAAACTCGGTTTCAAAAATATGGGTTAAGATGTATAGATTTACACGCAGCGTTGCATTGATTTATGTTTTGGGGACAAATTCTGGATTTTTTCCTTGTACAGATAAATACTACTTGAAAAAATATGCTACATCTGAAAGCATTGAAAACAGAAAATGAGTAATTTATTGAATTCTAAAATTAATGCTTTGGCGCTAATTTTTAATTACACAACAAAAAATATTTTCATTTGGAGAACATCTAATTTATTCTCACCGTATATCTCTTTTTCGACTTCTTCAGTGGGTGCATGAAAGGCATGTAATTATATTTAAGGATTCTGCGTTTTACTCCTACTACTTTCATTCGTTTTTCGGAAAATTGTTGTTTTTATTATTTCTTATTTAAAATATGGTTGAAAATGTCAAAACAACAACTTAATATTTCTGTAGAAAAGGAATTCCTTTAAAACTTTATTCGTTTACGAATAAAATATATTACTTATTGCCTGCTGCCACTTGAAAGGCTGAGAATTTTAATTTAAAATCCGATAAATAGGAGTCTAATAAAGGATAGCTACGGAGATGATTTAAAAAATAACTTTTAACGTTTACTAGAGATGATAAGGCCCTAAGAATCAGCGTAATATGCATAAATTTGTTTATGATTAGTTTCGGAGATTTTAATATTGAACTTTCGAAACTATTCCTGCAAGTTTATGAATATTACGCTGATTCTTGTTGTGTTACCAGCTGCAATAACCGCTACTGAATGTTAGTTTACGTTTTAAAGCAGTCACGTTTTTATATGAAAAATTTTACTTCTACGAAGTAAAGGAAGATCGTTTACGAATCCATTTCGATGGTTTCTCTGTATGGCATCTATTAGAACAAAGGATTGTTTTTTTTCCCACAACGGATTGTAAGATGGATTCAAAGGGGCTTTTTTCGTAATGTCTGAGCGTAAGTATGTATGTGTGTATCTCGCAACATTCAAAAATTATTAGCCGTAGAACGGATATGGGATTGCTATAACGTCTAGATTTGCACCTATGTTTTTATTGCAATCTGCAGAACCAAACTTATATATGTAGGATTTCCTCTCAAAAACACGCAATAGAGCACATTTAAAGCATAATTACTGCTTTATTTTACTACTATTAAATAAATGAAATAAAAGAATAAAAGGTAAAAGTTAATAATTCCACTGGTAATCTCATGGATTACCAGTGGAATTATTAACTTTTACCTTTTATTCCATCTTATTGATGGTCCGCTTCCATTCCATCTTAGAATATTCACTTGTCTGAAACGCGTCTCGTCTCCAGCACTTTCAACTTTCGTCTGTCGACACTGCACGTCATAGCTCTACTAAGTTGAAGTAGAAGTAAATGTTGTGGAAGGATCTACCGCTACATTTATAAATAAATAAATAAATAAATATATACAAGGTGCCTCACTAGCGTGTTTTAGAAATTCTGGGCAGGCGTAGGGTGCACCTCGGTGATTCGGAATCATATAGCAATATAGGGTCAGAAATGCTTTCCTGACTCGCTGTTGTACACAGAAACACCAGGAATTAAAAGACGCCAGGTAAGTTAATATTCGTTTTAATAGTAAATTTACATAAACAAAAGTAACATGAGTCAAAAATAGTGTTCGAATATTTCAGCCACAGTCTTCAATGAACGCCTCACATCTACAACGCATGGCATTCCGAATATTTTGGGATATTCCACGTATATATCGAATTTCACTGGCAGCTACTGTGATTCCTGCAACCAGCTTTTCGGCGTTGTCAAGTGTGTGTCATAAACTAGTGTCTTCATATGCCCCCATAACAAAATATCAAGACTCGAACGTTATGGCTGAAGTGGACAGGGACCCTATCGGCTTGGAACCACATTGTCTGTCGCCTCGATGCAGAAATCTGTTAGTCATCTAAAGGTTATGGCAAGACTTGATGCAGAAAGATCAAGTAGTTACAACAGGTTAGACGAAATGGCAACACATAAAGTCCGATGAGGTGATCCCCCACAATGCTGGTCCAAACATCATTAACTGAAAGCCGACTCGGCGTTGCACGACATCATGTTCAGTTAGGGTCCTCTACCGCCCAGAGATAAGAGTTGTATACGTTGAATATTCCTTCCCTTGTGAAAGATGCCTCGTCGGTAAATAACACTTTAGCAGGAAACGGTGATCTGTAGCACACTTTTCAATATAGCTTTGTGCAAAAGGAATACGGAGCACATAATCGCATGGCTGAAGAGCCTAGATACGCTGCACGTGATACGGATCCATTTCCTTTTCTCCAAGAATGCTTCAGATGCTGGAACGAGAAAATGCAAAGTATTCCTTCACTTATGCCTGTCTCTGTAGGTGCTTCAGTTTCATTTTCGAGCTTATACATGTTTTGATGAGTTGATTTGTAATATCAATTCAGTAAGAGGAATATTGTACAGGATGCTATATTCAACGATTTCTTATATATTTCAATTTTTCTTGCAGCAGGCTTTGCTGAATTCTGCAATTTTAATACAAGAAACTGGGAGTCCAAACCTACGGAAGACAGCTTATGATAGGTATGTAAATTACATTTTTTATACTTTGGAAAACTATATATTGTTGTCGCTTACTGCATAAAATCTGGTTCTGGGAAATGTCATGAATGAAAAACCAAAGAATTTAGAAATAGCTACTGCGCGAAATATAAGACCTTTAATTTATTTTCTGCACATAGAACTTTTATTGTATCCATTTCTAGCGTTTCTTAGTGTGTTGAACTCTAACTCAATTCTTAGTTTGTTGAACTGTCCGCCCAACCGTAAGTGGTTAGTGATTCTGACTACCGTACCGAACGGTCTGCGTTGGGCATGGATGTTTGTAAATGCAATAGTGTCTCTGCGACATGATGGCACTCTAAATATGCGACGAGCCAAACGTAATTGGGGGCGGTTAGCGGTAGAGAAAGAGGAGAGGGACGCTCACAGACTCGTCCCGCCCAGGGTGCTCATTGTCTCGAAATAGGGGGCGGAACTGAGCTAAAGTCGGGCTCAAGGCTTTTGCCAACGACAGGTGCATTTAACTAATTGCCACGATGAATGTCGTGGTGTTATGATGACAATTCTCAGACAAGTGAGACTGGTAATAGCAACAGTCTGTTGTCATTAGGTAAAATATGAACATTTAAATCAATATTTAATATTCAGTCAGTCTGTTATTGATTAAGAAACTGAGTGGTTTAAAATAAATAAACGCAGTTTCTAAAAATTTAAATCTTTATTTTAATTTTTAAAAACAAATGTAAGTTATATAGAGCATGTACAGGAAAGACGGTGACAGGTGTAAGCGGTTGGAGGAGATATAAAAGTAACAATTTTCGCAGTATAGAGTTTGGTGGAATGTGAAATGTCAAAGTGGAAACACAATAAATATAAAGAACAAGGGAAACTAGATGTCATAATCACGGATAATTTATAAGAAAGTAATGTTTGATATTTAGGAAAATTCTTCAAAGAAAAGACATGCATCACAACAACGAACAAACATGAAAAATTAAAGTCTCATTCTATTTACTGCAATACATGCGTCGCAATGGCGATCAATTGATCGACGGGGGCCCTTCGGGAGGTGACACGTCTCTCACATATTTCTGAGCAAGCAATGCTAATTCTGAAAGCAGTATCTTCGTAAGAATTATCTGTGACTCAAAAAAGGGCTTTTCAGATGTCTCCAGAGAATGCAATTGAGGTGGTGGAAATCCGGAAATCAAGGAGACCAAATGATGGGTCGACCGTGGCCAAACCATCATTAAGTACTTTCTACGGGGGCATAAAGGTCATAAGTGGTTAAAGCCGAGCTGCGTTGCCAAGGCAGCCAGTCTGTGCTACGTCACATAATCTGGTTTAAGGCTGGTGGCACAAGGTTCCATATTTTCAACTTTATGCCGAGTTTGGAATAACAGTCGACAAATCAGAGCGAAGCTAAAACGAAGCGGCTTTCTTTTAGACGATTTCGCTGTCACATCGAAGGCGACATTTTTTTTTTTTTTTTAATATGGAGAACATCGTATCCGAATGAGTTGTAATCGTATCCGAACGAAATAATGAGTTGATCTCGCAAGAAATCTACGATGATGACATGCATTTTTTAATGAGTTTTCACAATAAATAAAAAAATATGGATGAAACTTGTAAACCGAAAGTTAAGCTCAGGATCATGCACGCTGTGCATGATCCTGTAGATCAGGGGTCGTCAAAGTGGTCTATATAGACCCCTAGGGGTCTATTTAACAACAGTAGGGGTCTATCTGACCTAAGGGGTCGAATGGGGGTCTATTGGGACTCAAAGGAAAAACAGTTCTTAATACGCAAATCACACATATCTAACTGCGTACGTAAAAATTTAAAATATTTTTATAATTGACTTAATATTATATTCTTTATAGAAAATAAAAATAATAAATCAGAAAACAATCTGCCCCTTTTTTCCTTATGGGTTTTCGTATGTATACCTTGACGTTACAACTTGACCTTGTGACCAGTTTGTAATTTGCACGACTCATAGTATGTAGCTAGAAGAGCGATTGAGGCTTATCCGTGTCTCTTGCTGGCGAACCCATCAACCAATTAGGAGCCTTTGGCGCAGACTTGGCGAGCGACGACACTGCCTTTGGCTTTCTATGCATTAAGCGCGAAGGGAATCTTCAGTACTCCGTTTTTTTTCTTCTTATGTGTGTGGTTTTAGTTCTTTTAGTTTTTTCTTTTTTATACGGCAGTTACGCATCGTGTCGTTGGTTCGCCCTTTGTCTCCATCGTAAACCATACGAGCCTTGCATATGAGTCAGATGCATATGTGCGCTTGTCCAATTCTACACTGTATGTTACAAACGCAAATATCATATGCATTTTCAGCTATCTTTGTGAACTGTGAACAGGATTAAATGCTTGTAGTGTCATTATTACTACTATTATATCTACCATTGGATAATTAGTTATTGTTTCTATAAAACTATTCGTTTAGATTTGATATAAATTTTAATTATTGTTACTTGTGAAAAGGTAAGCTTTAATAATGTGGATTAGTATAATATACCAACTTAATTTTAACTTATTTACAGAACACTAATTTAAAAATGACAGCTTCAGTATCTAAAAAGAAATGCCGGTATTATTCATTGGATTACTTAAAATTTGGATTTATTTGTTCACCGACAAATGAAACTATTCCTATGTGTCTTATATGCGAAAAAACTTTTGAAAATGAATACATGAAACCGTCAAAAATTAAAGATCATCTTGAAAGGCTTCATTCAGATAAAAAAATGAAGAATTAGAATTTTTCAAAAAACTCAAAGAAAAATTCACATGTCGACCAACTCTAAAAAGTTTTATGAAACATTCTACTGAACAAACAGTCTACTGAAACTGAAAATGAAGGAGGATTAATTTTTTCGTACAAGATTTCGCTTAATATAGCAAAGAGGGGAAAACCCCACACAATCGCAGAAGAAAAAATTGTAGTACCTGCAATTAAAGACGTCATTGAGAATGTGATGAAAAAGACTCTACTAATGTTTTAAAGTCTTTGTCATTAAGTGCAAATTCTGTAAAACGGCGTATTGACGAAATGGCCGAAGAAATAGAAAACACAGTAGTTTCGGAGCTAAAAAATTGCAAGTTCTCTATACAACTTGATGAATCTGTTCTTGGCGTTTCTGCTATTCTTATGGCATATGTTAGATATTTCAGTAAAATTAAAGGAGAAGTCAATGATGAATTTTTATTTGCTAAATATCTTAAAACCGATGGGAAGGGAGTGACAATTTTTAGATGTTTACAAGAATATTTAAATAAATATGTCATTCCGCTTGAAAATATAATAGCAGTAGCCACAGATGGCGCACCTTCTATGGTAGGGCGTTACCGAGGTTTTGCTACATGCCTCAAAGAAAAAGTGCCCGGTATTCGTACTATTCATTGTGTGTTGCATAGACACAACTTAGTAGCAAAATATCTGAGTTAAGAGTTACATGAAGCTTTACAGTTTTGTATTAAATCTATTAATCAAATTAAAGCTCATCCTCTTAAATCAAGATTATTTGCCAAACTTTGTGAGGAAACAATGAGTTATTTAACCAATTACTTCTGTACACCGAGGTTAGATGGTTGTCTAGAGGTGTATGCTTGCAACGCCTCGTCAATTTATTTGACTCCACGACAGAATTTCTGAACGAAATAAATCCTGTTCTAAGCAATGAACTCCAAAACAATAAGAACCATATTTTTTATTTAGCAGACTTATTTGGAAAATTTAATGACGTTCAAACAAAACTGCAAGGAAAAGATGTAATAATTATCCAAGCTCGGACAATACTGTTAGGCTTCCAAGTAAAATTAAATTTATTTAGATCTTCATTGCTACGTAAGGATTATAAGTATTTTTCAAATCTGCAACAATTAAAAATAAAAGAAGAAGACTTGGAAATATATACAAATCATCTTCAAAAATTAAGCGATGATTTTAAACTGCGCTTTGTTGATTTGGAAAACATCGACATCCCTGATTGGATTATTGCGCCATTTTCGGCGCAAATTGATAACGTCGACATCAACATACAAGAGGAGCTTGCTGAACTACTGTCCGATCTTGAAGCAAAAACGCTTATTAAAAATTTGACAATACATACATTTTGGACTAATATAAATATAAAGCAAAAAATATGTGAAACTTTACGAAATGGCTCAGCCATTTATGCTGGCGTTTCCAAGTTCGTATATGGTTGAAGCCGGTTTCAGTCACGTTAATTCAATTTTAACTAAAAACAGAAATAAATTAAATGTGGAGCTTTGAGGGAATTTACGGTTAAAATTGACTAATTTCGTCCCAATATAGCGAACCTTGCCAAGAAACAGCAGACACACTCATCTCATTAAGAAGTAAAAAATCTGTAGCTACTTTACTTACTGTTTCTGATTTATTAACTATTTAGACTAATCTATAGTTTTATTTTAATTACCTGAAAATTACCTTTGTGGGGGTCTATGGAGATTTCGAAAAATTATATAGGGGGAGATGATCAAAAACGTTTGGCGACCCCTGCTGTAGATGATTGATCCCATCCATTATTTTTCATTTTATTATGAAAATTCTTTAAAAAATGCATGCTTACAAAATTTTATTTTTTCTGTGTAAATTATTATTATTACTTTCTTTCTGTTTATTATTTTTGTATAAATTATTACTATCATTTTCTTCCTGTTTAATTATTTTTGTATTTAAGAATAAATTTATTGAAAAAGCTGGAAATATTGTATTGCTATTTGCTTCAAATGCTGATTTTTTTCCAAACAAACTTCATGAATTAATTTTACTAAAACATCAAATCATTATCAAGAATCTGCTGTTTTTTTTACAGTAAAAATATTATAAACCTTTCAGCTGCAAGTAAGCAAAGGGAAATCAATAATTCCCTAATTCCCTGTTTTCTGTCCTACTTAAAAGACGAACGGGCACAGGTACTGAAAAAACAATCAAGTAAATCCAAGTAGTAGCAATTTATTTTCTACCATATTTTAATTCA